TCCTCTACCGTCCACATAATCTCAAATTCAGGCAGTTGGTTCATGATCCGGAAACATTCATATTCTGTTTCAAGCCTCGACTTAATACTATATATTATATTATATTATATTATATTATATTATATTATATTATATATTATATTATATTATATTATATTATATTATATTATATTATATTATATTATATTATATTATATTATATTATATTATATTATATTATATTATATTATATTATATTATATTATATTATATTATATTATATTATATTATATTATATTTGTGGAGTTAATTTAAAGTTTTAATCCACTCCATGTTTCAGTGATAGAAGAAGCTGCAATTAAGCGTGAGTATAACAATTGTATACGTCTCTAAATTAAAATTTCATTCTATAATTCTCTATATAAAATCTACTTAACAAAGTAATTGATATTTATATGATATTGACATAACTTAAATTTATTTCCTCTTAATACCAATTGAAACAGCATAGCAGTTGAGTTTATTATTTTCGTCCACACAAGATTACCTTACTGGTGTCTTAAAGGGCAGTGGTCGTCGCGCAGCGCGTGTTCGAATTTCATGTAAACATACAATGTATTTTACAGGCGTTGTATACGTCACTATGTGTCCCGTTTCGAACAGGACGCGGCGCGACGACGAGTGTCCTTTAATTGTGACAAATAAGCAGTGTATGTCTTCCCTGCACAGGACGAGAAGTGAACGTGGCTGTCGACATTGTTGTAGAGAAGCTGAAACCCGAGAAGTGGAAACTCCTGGCACCGAATTTAGGGATTCCACTCACGACCGTGAAAAGCATCGATGAAGAAAGTATGGACGATAAGCAGAAGTTATGGAAGTTGCTGCACATGTGGAAAGATAAATATAAAAGCAGCGATGCAATTATCAAAATGTCCCGTGAAAAAATGATCAATGCTCTTCGAGTGCATGGGGAAAATAGTTTGGCAGAAGAACTGGAACATCTTGGTATCGATAGCTGGGGATCTGTGTCGAGTAACTAATTGACATGATGACGTGGCACTGTCAGTCGTATTTGAGGTTTGTGTATAAGAAACGGTCGTAGTCGGTATACTGCAC